AAGGGAGTCCCCAGGAGGAGCACCCTCCAGTACCCCCTCTAAGGACTCCAAGAAGGGTGGGTAATCTGAACTGCTGTTCGGCCCGTAAGCACAGACAACAGTCAGAACCCGTCCCCCACCCGCAGGCGGAGGGAGTCTACCCTCTCGTTCACCGGGGTAAACCGCAACGTACAGGCGCCAAGATGGGGGGCAACAAGTATGCCCACTCCAGCCCAGCGCCTCTCACCGTGAGCAACTCCAGAGTGGAAGTACGTCCAGCCCCTCTCAAGGAGACTGGTTCCAGAACCAGAGCCATGCGTAGAAGTGAGGCCGACTATTTCTAGCCGGAACCTCTTAGCCTCGCACACTAGCTCCGGTTCCTTCCCCACCAGAGAGGTGACGTTCCACGTCCCAAGAGCCAGCTTCTGAAGCCGAGGATCAGACCGCCAGGGTCCCCTCCTTCGGCTGCCGCCCGTAACACAATGCAACCGACCCCTTTGGCCCCTCCTACAGGTGGTGAGCCCGTTGGAAGGGGGACCCACGTCTCCTCTTCAGGCTAAGCCCGGCCGGGCTCCGTGGGTGCAAGCCCGGCCACCAGGCGCTCGCCATCGTGCCCCACCTCCAGGCCTGGCTCCAGAGTGGGTTCCCGGTGACCCGCTTCCGGGCGAGGGAACGCCAGATCCAAAGTTATTTTCCATCATAAGGGGTCTTCAGGCTGCGCTTTGTCTGGTTCCTCACCTCGGACCTGTCTGCCTTGGGTGACCCTACCAGGGGCATAAAGCCCCAGACAGCATAGCTCCTAGGATCATTGGGACACTCATACCCCTCTACCACGATAAGGTGGCATCCCAAGGAGAGGGACTGAGATGTTTTCATGTAATAAATGAAAACATCTCATTTGCGCGATCGTAATCTGTCTTTATTAATTTTAAAATATATTTACTGTTTCTCTAGGGTTTTACTTTACCTGTTTTAGTTCCGTTTTCCTAACTGAGCATTTCAGAGTAATTTTCTTCCCTCTGAAGGGACATCCTGAACTTCCTGCGGGAAGGTGAGCTGCCGCAGCGGGACCGGGTCCGGTCCGTCCACCGGGAGGCGCAGTACTATGCCATCGGGCCGCTGCTGGATCGCCTGGAAGAGACGCAGCCTCTGACCGGGGAGAAGGTCAGGCAGGCCTTCCTCGACCTGCTGCCCTACTACAGAGGTCTGACGCTAACAAGGCTAGACGCTAGCTTTACTAACAAGGCTAGCTCCGCTAACACAGCTAGAGGCTAGCTCCGGGGTGGGCAATCCTGGTCCTCGAGGGCCGGTGTCCTGCAACTCTTAGACGTCTCCCTGGTCCAACCCACTTGAATCCAACAGCTGAATCACCTCCTCAGTGCAGTCAAGTTCTCCAGAGTCCTGCTAACAACCTCATTATTTGACTCAGGTGTGTTGAAGTTGAGACACATCCAAAAGTTGCAGGAGGCCCTCCAGGCCTGGAGTTGCCCACCCCTGGACTAGCTTCACTAACAAGGCTAGCTCCGCTAACATGGCTAGCCGCTAGCTTTGCTAATACGCCTAGTGGCTATCTTCATTAACACAGCTAGCCTTGCTAGGTAGCTTTGCTAACACTGCTAGTGGCTAGCTTCACAACAGCAACACGTCTAACCGTTCATCATGGCTACTGTTGGTTTAAATGTCTGAAAAGTGTGGCATACTTCTGTCTTTTGGGTGGGTTTCTGCTACAGGGTGACCGTGAATCCTTAAAAAATCTTAAATTCATGTGTCTAAAATTAAAGCCTTAAAAGATCAAATTCACTTTAAAAACTAAGAAAAAGCCAGGCAGCCAGGCTAAGCTAACACTGGTAGGTTACAGAGCATTAGCAGGTCCGCTCTTTCATAACATAGAAACTTTCACAGGGTGGGAAACCTTAGCAAGCTGCCATGAACAACAAAGAGATTTGAGCTTCATGCAGAAAAACTCTATATAAAATCTTTTATCTATAGCAACATGCAAAATTTAAAGGTGGTGAGCAAAGAGCCTGATGAGCCGAGGATTCTGGGTAAAATCACCAACAGTCAGAGGAAAATACGGCTTTAAGCAGATTAATCTGTTATTATCAATGATTATTATATTATGAGAGCTGTAAGCTAAGATAATAACTATTAATTACACGTGTTACTGGTTTGGTTAATTATTCCCTCTGGCTTTTACTTTTACTTTAGTTGTTATGTGTAACCATAGCAACAAGGTAGCATTTTACTTTATTAGTTCCTAGAAGCTGTTTTTGTTTTTATATTTAGTATTTAGCTGCTGAGCGTGTTTCTCTACGAGGCTGATAGGAGTTGCTGAACATTAACGTGTTTTCACTGAACCGCTGTGATTTCAGACAATCTGGAGCGCATCGTGGAGATCGCCAAGCTGCGGGCGATGCAGAAGAAGGCGCGCTTCGCCAAGCTGAAGGTGTGCGTCTACAAGGAGGAGATGCCCATCACGCCGTACGAGCGGCCGCTCTTCAACTCGCTGCGCTTCGAGCGCGCCGACGGCGACGCCAAGCTGTTCGAGCACCACTGCGACGTGGACGTGTCATTCGGGCCGTGGGAGGCTGTGGCCGACGTCTACGACCTGCTGCACTGCATCGTCAGCGACCTGGCGCAGCGCGGCATCGCCGCAGAGCAGCAGTGCATCGGCGTCTGCGACAAGCACCTCATCAACCACTACTACTGCAAGAGGCCCATCTACGAGTTCAAGATCACTTGGTGGTGATAGGCGGAGCGGACCGGAACCAGAACCGGAACCCAGAACACGGCTTTTAACTCTGTTTTCTAATCAAACTGAAAGGATTTTACAATGTGACCCTTTAAATCTGCTTCCCGTTTCCTGTGGTTTAAACGCAGCGCCTTCATCATGAACTCATCAGAAACATGAAACATTTAAACGAGATTATGACAGAGTGTTGGGGCCAGACGGTGACGGTTTTTAATAAAATAATTAGCAGATTAAAACCATAATAAAGTCGTAAAATGACCAGAAACGTTATTTTTAATCTTTGATCTGAGGACAGCAGCAACGTTCTGCTACCAACGATGATCTGATGCTGAAACGAGATATTTCATATCTGTAAAACCAAAACAACATCTCAACATTCCTTCTTTAAATGTTCGTTATTTTTGGTGAAGGAGTTAGAAAACAGCTTCATCCTAATAATAATTTGTCTTTATTGTCATTTTCTGGTATTTTACGATTTTATTCTGGCATCTGGCTCTAATACTCCATGTTTCAGACAAACCCAAACATTTCAATGTTTTCAGTTCATCTCTGGATCGGTTTCTGTTCAGTCGGGTCCAAATTACTACAGATGACATGAAACCCAAACCAAGTTAACCCTAGTTAAACATCTGGGGGTATTGTAGAGCCTCCTGAATGAGGCGACGGTGGGAAGAAACCAGCAGAACCAGACGGTTCTCCTTGCTGAACTCTAGGAAGTGACACCGAAACAGGAGATTTATCTGATGGAAAGAGAAAACCGTGATCCTGCAAACACCGAGCCAGGAATCCTTTCTCTGGGGAGGAAAACTAAACTTTAATTTAACACACATCTGTTTCCCATTCAGGGCCAAACTGCAGCTTGTTTTTACCCCAACAAATCAACCAGCTATGCAAATACAGCATAATTAAACTGATTTTTGGTGTAGACGATGGTGGAGCCGTTGTTTTCACGTTTCGTGAAGCCACATCGTCTTCGGTCCGTTTTTCAGCAGTTATTTTCCGTCAGCATCAGATTCGCTGGTTTCCGTTTGGAGGAGTAACCATGGAAACGTCCAGCCGTCTGATTGGACGCCCTAACGCTCCACCAGGAAGCCCGACGCTTCCTTACTGATCAATGGATGAAATGAACCGGGATCGATAACGATCCATCGGCAGCTTTTTGTTCTGATCACAGCTAATAATCGCGTTGCTGTAGTGAGTTCACTGGAATGGTTCGATGTTGTGACGTGACGTCAGATGTGATATTTTCCTATAGGTTTTGTGTCAGGTGAACTGTGAGATATATTTTCTTTACGCGTCGCTGAAGGAGCGTTGGGAAAGGTTTAGCAAAAGTTAGCGTGTTTTTGTTTCATCGGTCACTAAAATAAGGAGATTCTCTGTTTTAAGGGATTGCATTGCTGGAGATTTGACACAGCGGTAAATTTTGAAGCCACTGTAGATGTTTGAAGTTTATTAGAAAATAGCGCCACCTTCAGGGAAAATTTTTTATATATATATTTTTTTTTAGCTTTTGTCATTTCCATCACTTGAGTCCTGCTGTACTTGACTATTACTGAGCACCATGCGATTGTAACAGAACAGTCTTATTTAACGTCATCCGTTTTAATTGATTATAAGAATCAACTTAGCAGATTTATTCAGATTTTATTAATTTGCCACATAATGCTGAAGCACTACATTCTTCCCCTGAAACATGACTGATCTTTGTGACTTCCAGTGTTTTTAATGTTTTATATAGCTGTTTATGTTTGTTTTAGCTTCTAGGAAGCTCCAGATCTCTAGTTGTCTTTTATTTGTCTGTATTTAAAAAATGAAAACATAATTTTTATGTTGTGGTACAATAAAACTGTTAAACTGCAATAGGATTTCTCTGCTTTTATTTCTTAAGGTTTGTGGAAAACATTTACAAAAGTCGTAAAAAGAATATATACATATATATATATATTTCAGACTGGAGAGACTCGGAGACAGAAAGCGATGAAAAAGTTTATTGACAAGTAAACATTAAAGTCCTTTGGCGTTCAGGCCGAGGACATCGAGCTGAAACTGCGATAAGCTCGGAAAAAAAATTCCTGATGCTGCATAGGAATGTAGACCCCCGAGGCCGGTACTGGTGGCGCCGGGCGAAGAAGGATGTGGCCTGAAGAGCTGGGAGCTGAAGGTGGAGATGGGTTGATCGCAGCTGGTAAGTGGAGGAGGCCATGGATGAAGGTCCTTATCAACTGGAGCTTGGTCGATGATTGGCCATGATGAGGCTTGGTCCAGTGCTGATAGATCCAGGGAGAGGAGGCGCTGATTGACGAGGCAGGTGAGGCTAGAGAGTCTTCCAGACTGAATTTGCACCTAAGCTCCTAACCCTACATACCTATACCTAACCCTAACCCCATATATATATATATATATATATATATATATATATATATATATATATATATATATATATATATATATATTCTAAATAAATGTACATATTTATTTCATACTCTTAAATCCTGCTCTTTTGCAATTAAATGATTCAGTTCAGGTCTATAAAGTACGGCTGAAACAATTAATCAAATTAATCAATTATTTAAATAATCTTCAAATAATTTCATAATGAAATAATAATTAACTGGAGAAACCAGACTCTGAAACATACCATTTAAGATAAATATAAAAACTAATTCACCACAATCTGGATGAACGTCTTGTTAAAGAGGCTAACGAGTTAGCAACAACAACGTCACTGACTCACTGAATGCATTTTAATTATGGATCATTAATCACGTGTTCCCGAGACAAACACAGCCAAGCTGTTTATAATAATGCTATAAAATCACACAGTATGGTTTGTCCTCAAGGAGCTAACAGCTAGCACTCAGGGCTAACATTACCATTAGTGGTCACGTTAGCTCATTGTTTGCTACTGCTAGCAAAACAATAGCCAGAACTTGATTATCAACACACAGCATTCATGTCTAGAATAAAGTTCGATGTTATTTTAGTGGTATTTGGAGCTTACGGTTTTGGAAATGACCCTCAGTCAGAAAAAGTCTTTCTGTAAATCTTTCTTTATACCGGCGGAAGTTGCAGTACTTTGTGAAAACAGAGGACTTTTCCCGCGGATGTGAGTACATTTCCAAGCAAATCAACATTTAGCTAGGAACCTGGAAGAGGTCTTGGTGTGGGGTGTAAGGAATTATGATGATTAATTAACCCAACAACTTAACATTTTAGCTTATTTACTTTTGCCTTCGGCATCATTGAATTTAGACTACAAAATCGCTGCGAGAAATAAAAATGGCGGATTCACGAAGTTGGTTAACTAGAAGTCCTATAGATATCTCCGCACCAACAGGAGAGACTAAATTAAACCTTTCCACACTTGTAGACAGTCTGTACTTGCATTTGAATGCAAGTCTGTACTTGCATTTGAATGCAAGTACAGACTTGCATTTATATTTCTATTTAAAGTCTTGACTGAGCATAAATATGCTTAATAAAAAAGGAAATGCTTAAGACCTGTAGCCTTGGTGTTTCTGTAACGCGAGTTCTGAAATTAGCTCTGAGCTTTTAAAGCGTCTTCACTGGTAATGACTGTAATGACTTTTCCAGTTGAATTTTAGTCAAAATACAAAACACAAACAAAAATATAAATACAGTAGAAAATGAACTAAAAACTCCACCACTGATTAAAATCTGATTATTCAGGTAACGGTAAATAAATAAGACACAATCAAGGCTGATGTATCTCATAATTATAACTTTGTTTCTCCCAGTTATACATTTAAATAAAAATATTCATGCCAGCATTTTGTTACGTGTCTCAGTAATATTTTGGTATCTTTCCCTTCGCTGCTTAATAAAGTGTACTTTATATAACCATAAATGTTTTATCTCTGCTTTGTTTTGTTTTGCATTATTTTATCAGACTTTCAGTGATTTTCTCTCCAGGCGCAGCGGATTTCAGGACGACGTCTCCAACCTGGCAACCCGACTGAAGAGCAGCTCCTCAACCGTTTGAATGAATATGCACACTTAGCCGCTGTTGTCATGGCAACACAATAATAGCCGAGCCATATGCTGCACGCGCTGCTTGTCAAACGTGTTTAAAAAGGTGTTTGCTGTCTGATTGTACAAACAGATGCTGCGCTGACATTTATCTGATTTATCAGCAGATTAACAGGCGGATTTATCTGAGGTGGATTCTGACCAACATTTCATGACCTGAGCTGCTGCACAAATAAATAAGAGTCACAAATTACTTAGAAAACACAAGCGACCACGCTCAAAAAATAAAGTTGTCCAAGCAGAACAGATGAACAGATTCATGTTGAATGATAAGGCTTCTTCCCAGGGCAGCACAATCTGGGGGAAGGGTTGCGGTTTCTGGCCATCTGCGACCGTGGTCGCTGCTGGCCACACCCTTGTTCGCTGCTGGCCACGCGCCTGTTCGCTGCTGGCCACGCCCCTGTTCGCTGCTGGCCACGCTCCTGTTAGCTGCTGGCCACGCGCCTGTTCGCTGCTGGCCACGCCCCTGTTCGCTGCTGGCCACGCTCCTGTTAGCTGCTGGCCACGCCCCTGTTAGCTGCTGGCCACGCTCCTGTTCGCTGCTGGCCACGCTCCTGTTCGCTGCTGGCCACGCTCCTGTTCGCTGCTGGTAACAGGCGGGGCTTTGCTGGGTTGGGAGGTTTTTCAAATGGCTCATTTTCCAGACACCAAAAAGGTTCAGTGTTTTTTTAAGATCCAATTTCTTTTAAGTCATGTTTGATATTTATCGTGTTTTATACCAACTGAAGGTGTAGCTCGCTGACTGTGCAATCAAATGAGATCATGTAACACCGCCCCTTTAAGGAGTCCAACATCAATGTCTAGCCTGGACATCACTGCGACTCTTATTTATTTGTACAGCAGGACTGCTTCATGTTTCTGTCGATGCTCATCATAACCCTCTGCTTCTCTGAGGGAAATGGCTGAAGGTTAAAGGTCATCGGCGTTCCTCGGTGGGATCTGTTTTCTCGCTCACAGCTCCATCCAGCCGTATCTGGGACTTTCCCCCCGCGTCTCTTCCAGAGTTTTACTCATCTGCTGACCTACTTGCCTCGGCTGCCGCCATGTTGGACAGGAGATTATAAACGTTTCTGTTCAGCTTTAGCATTAATGCTAACACCGAGCTGAACTTTTAGACAATCAGAAAGAACATTTTCTGATGTTTGTTCTCCATCATGATGGAGTAAATCATATTAACTCAAAAAATAAAAAATAAAACCACAAATCTGAGAATAACTAACATGTTTAAATTTGTTTCATATCTAAGATTACAAGTTGAGTATTTCCTCCTGGGAACAAAAACAAATGGTAACACTTTATTTGATGGGGTGTGCATAAGACTGACATGACACTGTCATAAACATGAAGGAGTCTTTATGAATGTTGTCATAAAGTGTCATTAGGTAAATAATGACACTTTAATGCAAAGTTGGCATTTTTAATGGACTTTCAAGGCAACTTTTAAAGCAACTTTGCATTAAAAGTGTCATTATTTACTGAATGACACGTCATGACAACATTCATAAAGACTCCTTCATGTTTATGACAGATGTTATTTCATGTTTATGACAGATGTTATTTCATGTTTATGACAGATGTTATTTCATGTTTATGACAGGTGTTATTTCATGTTTATGACAGTGTCATGTCAGTCTTATGCACACCTTGTCAAATAAAGTGTTACCAAACAAATATATTTATTTGATTTACAACTAGAATTCAATGAGACATTAATAAAAAGCTGTTATGGATAAATTGAATAGTATAATTCCTCCAGCAGCGGTCAAAATAAGATAAACGAGAATTCAGCATTTCATTCTGATTATGATTATTCTGATTATGAACACATTTTTCTTTATGTCAGTCTAAAGAAACCAAATTATTGCTGTTAATATTTTACAGTGTAACTTGACAAACCTCATTATCAATTTCATTTTAAGTTTTTATTTCAGCTTAAAATGTCTTCAGAGCGATGATGTTGTCAGGATGATCACATTCCCCCCCTCCCTCTCTCTCTCTCTCTCCTTTCACTCCATCTCTCTCTCTCTCTCTCTCTCCTTTCTCTCTCCTTTCACTCCATCTCTCTCTCCTTTCGCTCTCCTTTCACTCCATCTCTCTCTCTCTCTCTCTCCTTTCACTCCATCTCTCTCTCCCTCTCTCTCCTTTCTCTCTCCTTTCACTCCATCTCTCTCTCTCCCTCTCTCTCCTTTCTCTCTCTTCTCACTCCCTCTCTCTCTCTCTCTCCCCTCCCTCTCTC